AACTATAATGAATGCATACAATGCTGTTGAATCTTAATAGCTAAACTTTTTCTAATAGGAACTGAATCTGTTATTAAATACTTTTCTCTGTGATCTGTGATCACCATCCATTTTTTCCCTATCCTTGTTTTCCCCTAATGTAATTTCATGTTTTTAGTTCTTCCTTTAGAACCGAGAACATGACTGGAACTGTATAGCTGTGTGCTGGTGGAAAGACAAAATAGTGTGTCTATAGAATCAGACTGAAACCTTATTACAATTTTTTCTTACAGTGCATTTGTTACGACCTTGTGGCTTAACTAGCTCTAGGGTTTAAAGAGTAGTATTGATTTGATTTTTATTTATTCATGTTTTTGTAATCAGTTTTATCTCTTCAGAACCCTAGAGGCTGACAAAATGCTTTAACCTGCAGGCACAGTTGGTTGGTTTGAATTGCAAGTGTGTTTTTCCTGCATCATGCTGCCCTCTTCTCCCAAACTCTTTGTGATGGTGGTAGGATACTTGGTGTGACTTACAAGCTCAGAGGCCCCTTCTGCTGAATGTTCTCTGTATTGTTAATAAGCAATGACAGAGGTAGGAATGCACAGATTGCTGTGACAGCATCCAGTAAACTTGGAAACAGATATTCCTCTCCTTGTTAGTCCTTCTAAAAACTGTGGGTATTATTTAATATAATGCACATATTTTTTGCTACAGGTGTGATTTTTCAAATTAATTCTACTCTTTTGTTTATGTGACCTTCATATAAAAGGTGATCCTTATTTGCTTTGTTAATTTGGATCATATAAAGTCTGTTGAGGGGGTGTAATAAGAAAGGGAGGAAAATAAGCACAGGAAACACCTGCAGGTTTGTTGGGTTTTTTCCGTTTTTTTTTTCCAAAAGCAGTTTAAGATATTTTTATTTACAGCTAGTGTTCTGTTGTTTTGTAGCCAGAGTAATAAATTAGCTACTTTGATGTGTGCAGAGGAGTATGGAATCTTTGTGCCTTACGAGAGTTGGTCATAAATTATGTCAGTTGGGAGGGTTGTTCAGGATCTAAGTGTTAAAGCTGGAATGGAGCAGTGGAAAGGCATTGAATCTACAGTTACACAAAGTGAAACCTCAGATTTATTGACTTTTTGTTCTTGATCATGGACTGTTTGAAATAAACATGTTTACATCCAATGCCTCATGCACCTAGATAAACAGTACTGAGTTCAAGGTGAAATACAGGAGTTATTAATAGCCCTCAGGATTTAATAGAAGTATATCATATGAGGTTTGTGCAAGTTTCATGCTTGTTGCTACCTTGAAATGTAATAAAATTAGCTTGGCATACTGTATGTTTTTACATATGACAACATTTTAGATAATTCCTAGATTTTAAAGCCTACTTACACATGACCTGAATGTAAAGGAAGTGTCACATACTAAAACACTCTCCCCTCTCCCTGAAGTACTTTTCGAGTCAAAGGAAATGGAAAAGTTTTAAATGCAGGTTTGCATACACATCCATGGTGTATGGATGCTAGACTCCATTGCTCATACTTGCCTGCAGAGAGGATGGCAGATTTTAGTCATATTGTTGGCAGGTGAAGCTCAGAGTCTGGATGGTGAAGTGACCAAAGCTGGAGGTCCTGTTCTTTTCTGCCAGTGTCCTGCCAAGGCAATGCCATCACATAAACGAAGCTGATCTCAAGGATGGCAGTGTGCTAAATTGCTGCAGGAAGGGTAACCTGAATAGTTTAATAGCCTTTGTTTCCTTAAGCTACTAAGTTTTGCTGCAGGCACAAACAGTTACTGTGATTGCCATAACTATGTAATATTTCTTTTGTGAGATTGCTTTCCATAATTGTTGCTAAATCCTGGATAAAACAAATATTTAAAAATACAGGTGGTAGACTCAGTGTAGAGTTGCTCTTGGAGCTTGGTCTAACAATAAATTGCTACATTGGGATAGGTTTTTATTTTTCTGTTGCTCAGTTGTTTTATTTGCATTCACTCTTTCTATCCCTTTTTGCGAATTGATCCTGTTTAGTTTTATTTATAGATAAGAGATTTTATCTTAGTGGGATGCAGTAAAAATAAAACCTGCCTAACCTAGAGTGCTGTTACAGGATAGAAAAACGAGTGTGTATTTTGACATTCTTCTGGCAAACTTCTTGCATGATTCAGGAGTGAAGCCAAGTGCCTTCAAAACATTCTCATGTATACCTAAGGTCCTTAAGAGTACGCAGAAGTTCAGGGATAAGTCTCTGATGGTGACTTGGCATGACATCTTGCTTATGTTTGTGAAAGTAAAGGTGTTTTTGAAATGCTATCAGTAGTTTCATGCGGGGGGTAGGGAACAACCAATTTTCTCTGAGTAATAGATTTTAAAAAGTAAACAAACTTATTTTAGATCAAGTTGTAGAAGCAGTAGAAATACTAACCCCTCTCAGCTTTGGGAAGCTATTTGCTAATGTGGAATACCTTCCATGTGTTCCCATGTGTGCTCCTATATAGCAGATACTTTGTTCTTAAACTTTGTGATGCTTTTTTTCCTTACTAATGACTTCATAGGAGTGCTTTTCTCAGGGTTGCCACTAAGATGTCAGTTCCTCTGAGTATACTGTGTGTCAGTCTGTAGTGTGAGAAGTTTGCATTAATATACAGCTAGTGTATAGTAGTGGTGGGTTGGTGACTGGGTTGCCTTTTGGGCAAGTAGGAGCTCTGGGTTTGCATTTCCCTCAGTCATAACAAGTTCCAGAACCAGGTCCACTGTGTCCTGGGTGAGTTCTCCATGACTGGGTACCTGTGCATGTGCTCAGTGGGAGGACTTTAGGCAGCCAAGAAAATTTTGCCTGCAATATGAAACTGTTTTCTTCTTAATAAATATAGAGCAGTCACTTCTATTTCCATAATAAATTTGATAAAATAATAGTGTGGAACAAAATTTGACGTGTAACATTTCCATGTATGTATATGGATGCATTATAAGTCTTTGATGTCCAATTTTAAAAGACAACAAAGTCAGGTTATTGAAAAATATTTATTAGTATTATACATGTCTAAATATGTAGATAATGCACTATATATAAGAAAAAAATTATTAATAGGAAAAACCCCACAGAATTCCATTCTAGTTCATGAAGCATGCAGCATTGTGTGAGTTAGAGGAAACCATGGCATTTAACCCATTTTCCACTCCTGTGAAGACATACCAGATTCCTTGGGATTTGTAAAAAGTCATAAACAAAATAACATTCTTGAATATACAATTATAGCTGATTAAAAACTAGGCATTCGTTACAGCATCAGTGTTGCTGCTGCTTGGAAAGAACATCTATGTGTGAGAAACTGTTAGTTAAGAAAACATGGTTTAGCAGAACTAAAGGAATGGTTGAGACAAATCACTTCTCAGGTTTAAGTTTGCTGTGCAGCAGATGTTTTTGTTAAAAAAAAAAGGAAGTTTTTTTAGGAAGAGCTAAGCTGAACTTCTTGCACCTTGTCATTACAGAGTTGAAGCTTTTTGTATGGAAGAGCCTCCAGTTGTGACTGCTCTGCTTTGCTCATGCATCCTATTGTAAAGAATAGACAGTCTTTGAAAAGGAAATGCAAAGATGACCTTTGTAAAAATCATTCCCTGTTAGGGAAAACATGGTGAGGTGGAAGATAGAACGTGCTGCCATACTGCCAGCATGAAAATTCCCAAAGAACCCTGTCATTTGGGGATAGTACAGCTCTCTAGTTCCTCTGAATGAGGTCTGTGTTTTTCAGGCATGCCATGGCATAACATGACTATTTCAGTTAAGACTGTTTAGTTTCTTGTGTTCAAAACCCTATTAATTTAGTTGCTGGTTCAAGATGGAAACTATTTTCTGTATTTCTTTGATGTGAATTAAAGTAAACTACTACTTTGAGTGTTGATTTACATTTGCTGGAGCTATTTGAAAACTAAGGATACCTTTTAATTTCAGTTAATTTTTAAATATGTAGGCATGACCCTGCAGGGTTTTTTTTTGGTAGAGGTCAAAAGTGGTTTGCTCATTTTTGCAGGGGATAATCTCAACTGCATGTGATTTTGTAAACTGAAAATACATGAGAAGAAATTCAGGAAAAGGATGAGAGGATTAGAGTAGGGAAGGCAATCTCAGTCATCACAGTCAGCTGGGAGGTATCAGAGCATGACTTGTGTACACAGCCATACTGTGTGCAACATCACCTAAGTTGTTTGGCCTTTCATGTGTAAATCCTGTGAGTATTGTGTCCAGTTTTGAGCTGTTCAGTACAAGAGGGACGTGGAGCTCCTGGAGTGGCAATGAAGATGGTTAAGGGACTGGAACATCTCACTTAAGAGGAAAGGATGAGGAAGTTGGGCCTGTTTAGTCTTGAGAAGAGATGACTGAGAGAGGGCCTCATTAAAGTATTCAAGTACATAAATGGGAAGTGCCAAGATGGTGGAGCCAGACTCTTCTCACTTGTGGAAGCCAATAAAACAAGAGGTAATGGACAAAAACTGATGCACAGGAAGTTCCTCTTAGTACAAGGAAGAACTTCTTTACTGTGCAAGTCACTGAACACTGGAACAGATTGCCCAGAGAGGTCATGGATTCTCCCTCACTGGATGTATTCAAGAACCATCTGGATGCAGTCCTGAGTTGTGTGCTGTAGGATGGCCCTGCTCGAGTAGGGAGGTGAGACCAGATGATTCATTGTGGTCCCTTCCAACCTAACTGATTCTGTGATAAATGTCAGGAAAGATGGTGCAGGACCATATTATCTGCTTTGTGGCATAATTGCATGTTCAGGTTTTTTTTCCATTTGGGTAAAAACTTGTGAAGGACAAAAAGCCTCCACCATAGCTCTAGTATGACTTATGTTTCTGTCCAAATATTCTTTTACTCCTGAGAAGGAAGACTGTATATTAGATTTGTGAAAAATAAGTTTTAGTTTTCACTGAATTATCCTTTGTTTTGTTTTAGCCACCATAGTGGATTGCAGCTAGATGACAAAAATTAAGTGTTTCTCCTTTTTCTAGGTGTGGGCACTCTCCTGTGTACCGCTGCCGTGAGATGTCAGGTCGGGCTCTTGTTCCATTTGTTATGGTGAATGAAGTACCACATACCGTGCTGTCCTTGCTCAAGGGGCTTCCAGACTCTACCAGTCCTTGCATACGACAGAATAGTATTCATGGAACACTTCTGCAAGTAAGTTTATGGGGTTTTGGTGGTTGTTGGTGGTTTTTTCTGTTGCGGTTTTGTTGGGTTTTTTGGTCATACTTGACAGCCAGGTAACACACACTGAGTTGTGCTTAATGTTCACATGTTGTCAAAATATATATATAAAAGTGCTTTTGAATTGATTCTGTCAGATGATAAATGTGGAATGCCCATTTCAGCTGTCATTAGAAGGCAGTAAGCTGTAAATAGTAACATTTACATTTCATAGAATGTTTCATCTCTAGAGATTTGAGTGCTGCTTTAAGAGTAAGTATCTTTATCTGAACATATTTACAGAGAGATCTATGGGACTTGCCCAGAATGACTGAGCAAATCTGTGGCAAAGCTGAACTCCAAGCACCAATAGCATCATATATATTGAGACTTGCTACTTACCCACGTATTTATTTATTACTTCATTTCCTTTTCCTGCTACACCAACAGCTTCCTGTCAGTTTGGTATACAAGTTGTGGTAAACTTTACGTTGTTGTCTTCTGGAAACATTCTGGAGAACAGCTCACTATCAGAAATTTCTTCATTCCCTATCTATCCTTCCCTTGGTTTATGACAGTCAGTTCACTATGTTTGGCTTTTAAGCTATCATGGTAATAAGTTACTCATTTTTATTGCCTGTTTTTCATGAGCAGCCCTCCAACAAAGCCATATTGTACACAGTGAGCTCTGTTGGTCTGCCTTGGCTGGCAAGACCAACTTACCTTTCCCACTGTACTTACATGTTCCCACTGTAAGCTGTATGGTGAGGTGTGTATGATTGCTTTGACAAACCTAGGAGGGGGAAATGAGTGAAGTCCCTCTAGGGCTATTACTGTCAGCTTTTCCTGTAAAGGGTTTCAGGCAATTGAATCTGCATTTGGATGACGATTGGTTACAATGAAGGTTGCTGCAGGCTGTGGGATGATCTTCTGCTCTGAAAAGTAGTCTGTGTACCTGATACATGCAAGTGGTGAGATCTGTGAGCTGCTGCATCTGCGTGGGAAGGGGGAGATTGCCATCATCAAATTACCTGTGCATCTTTTAGGCATGGATTAGGAGGAAGGAAGATTTAATGACTTCTCCCTCATCATTCGCTGCTTGTATGTAGGGAACTGTGTGACTTTTAAGTGTGCCTCCATTTGCTGCCTTCATCAGGAGGTAGATTGCACTGTCCAAGATAAAGGTTTTCATAGAAGTTCCCAAATGCACATATCATCGAGGAGCAATTTCTGTCTGCAAGCTGCTAGGTTCATGATGAGTATTTACATTTGTGGTGGTACTTTGTACCAGCTAATCAAACCACTGCATAGAATAAAATAAAAAACTCCAACCCTATGCTGGTCTGTCATGTCCTTGCAGGTGGATCCTTCCTGTTGTGACCGGTTTTGGTCACTGCTGTAACTCAGAGTCACAGAAATTCTGCTTGGTGTGCTGTGGTGCCTAGGAAGATTTCTCTCCATTCCCCATCTTCGCATCTGGAGCCTGGCTGGTAGCTTCTCTTCTCACTGCAGTCTTCTCACTTAGTACTGTTCCTTTGCCACTCCTACTGATTTATCCTGAGATTTGTTCCCAGAGCATATGCCAGTGTTTTGCATTGCAAGAGAAAAGCTGAATCTCCTTCTGTCTGGGGACCTGTTGAAGGACATGCAAAATGAATCTGACACTGGAGGATATGGCTTAGGGGTTACAGCAGAGTGGCAGGCTAATGGCTGGACTTGATGATATTAGAAGTCTCTTCCAACCCTGATGATTCTAAATATAACTGGCAGGAGACAGAGGAAACAGAGAATTGGTTATGCTTTGATGCAGGGTTAAAACTTCATGAAGATAAAAATGGAAATTCACTTATTTAATGTTGTTATGAGTGTCATCAGTCAGCAAGCAGTTGCTCTTCACAAATTGTTATGCTTAGTATTAAACTTTAATCTGCACTGAATTTTCCCACAAAATTCTGTAGTTTCAGTTAGCTAAATCGGTATTAGAGCAGTAGGATGGTTCAAAGAAGCGTGTGGGTGTTGTTTTTGTGGGGTTTTTTTTGTTTGTTTTGTATGTTCACTAATTCAAACAGTTGCATAGGAATGCAAAGTCTTGTGCAAGGAATTTTGGCTTGAGTTTTTGAACCTTTTTTGTTTTGTGTTTGAAACAAGCAGCACTGTTGCATCTCTCTCAAATCCAAGAACAGACTGAGTCACATCCACTTAGTTGCATGTGACAGAAATTAGAATTAATAACAGAGGGCTTCATAACTTTTTATATTATTTAACATTAAATTTAAAGATTT